TGAGAAAAACCACATTGGGAAAATAGAGCAGCTTCAGTATCCAGCTCTTGGCACAGCTATCATATGAGCCCCCATGGAGAGACTCCAATGGATGGTGAGTAGCTTGGGTGGAAAAAAAAAAAAAAAAAAGAATCTGAGCCCCAGAGTTTGACAAGATTGTATCAAAAAATCTCTTCCCCAACTTCCCCATTAACTGATTGAAATATTGTGAGACCTCCCCAGAAAAAGACTATGGATCAATGTAAAACACTTGTCTTTAGTACTGTATGCCCTGGATTTCATTGTCCGTATGTGTGGCCAGGGAAACAGTACAGTCAGGTCCTCATCCCTCTTGGTTGACCACAGAAGCCGTTCCACATAACTGGACTAATCCCATTCTGTTCCAGTTGCCTCTCCTCCTCCCTGTCCTGCTCTTCAGATTGTCAGCCTGATGGAAACAAGAAGCAGCCACAGCCTTCCAGGCCTTCACTTAAAGGGGCCGATGGAAACGTAGGAACAGACAAGACATCTCCTCATTCTACCTCCTAGGTGAGTCTGATTTCCAATATGGCTTCAGCCATGAGCACTGTTGGAGAACCCTGCCATGCCTGACAGTTCCTGGAGCCTGAACAAAGGACTCCATTCCCATTTCCTGCAATTACTAGTTACATCTCCCTCCCTTCCAGTTCACCACTTTCTATAAATGCATCTCAAGATGATCCTGTAATGCTCATTTAATGTTCACATCAACTGTATCATCCATCTAAAATGCACAAGTATTCCTAGGTTGGCTTGTTATATTGATTTACAATCTCCATGACATTCATAAGCACTCAGCCTGATTTCCTCTTGAAAAGATGTGCCCATCATATCCTAAGAGGCTCCCATCATCAAAGGTTTAGAATCCACAGTTGAGAGCATACTCTGTGATTCTGCACCATAAAGGTGGCAACCATTCTAATGTTGTCACACACTTTATTGAAAATAAGCTACTAATCAGATGATTAATTAAACACTTTACCTACTTCTTCCACAAAGGTCAGTGAGGGAGATTATAACTTGTGCATGCTTTTTTTCATTGCTATAAAGACACCCTACAAAAGCAATGAAGGGAAGGAGAGGGAAGGAAGACTGCAGGGAGAAAGAGGGAAGAAGAGAGGGAAGAAGGGAGGGGGAAAGAGAAAGGGAGGGAGGAAGAATACATTTGCTTTGGTTTAGTTTGAGGGTATAACCTATCATGGTTGGAGAGTCAGGGCAACAGAAGTGAGGCCATTGGTCCTATTGCCTACACAAAAAGCTGAGAGACAAGTATTTATGCTCAGCTTACCTTTTGCTTTTTGTTTAGCCCCAGGATCCCAAGACCATGGAAAGATAGCCCCCACATTCAAATGTGTCTTGCCTCTTCAGTTAAAGCTTTCTGGAAATATCTTCATGGACACACCCAGAATTGTGTTTCCATGGTGATTCTAAACCTAATCAAGTTGACAATGCCTATTAAGTATCATGAACTCACCTTAGATATGCACCTGGCCGATCTTAAACTGTTCCACATCGCTCCCCTGACAATGCAATTAACCTTGTTGTTCTTTCCTGGAATGCCTTTTCTCCTGAGCACTCAGTGTACTTGTCACTCTACTCTGAAACTGCCTGTGGTCACCTCCTCTAAGAATTCTTTCATAATTTGGGATGCACTGTGGACAAATTAGGCTAAGGTCACAGGGATTCTACTGGTCTATCTCTTACTAGCTATGACACCAGGAGGAAAGTGAATATAAGCAGCAGCCCCTGTGAAACAGAAGAGTAACTACCTGCCATGGCTGTGGATTCAATGAGGAAACTCAAGTAAAGCATTCTGTTCCACTCCTGGGAGACAATAAACACTATTCTAAGCTTGGCTATTATTGTTAATGGCCCAAGTGAACCAATCACTTGCAATATGCCTTTTTAAAGATATATTTTAATACCTCCTTGCCTCCTCCTTACAAGACTGACCCTGATAAATTTCAGTTATTCAAGTCTATTTCCCAGATCTGTGCACTTTGCCCAGCATATAAGTACTCAAAAACAAGCAAACAAAAACAAAACGTTGCTGCATTAAATTACACATCTAGAAAGGAAGTATATTTCTAGAATAAGAAACTGAAATTTTAAATGAAATAAAACGAAAACATACATGTCACATGTGAATGCTTCAAATAACCATCATGCTTTCATGTTCATTCCCCCACTTTCATTCTCAAAACTGTCTCCTGTGGCAGGGCCTATCTCTCGACTATGAATGGGAGAGCTGATATTTAACTGTAACCCACTCACAGAGCAATGTGACAAGTTCACCTCTCTATCATTTTTCCCTTCTCACGCTCCCCTTCCTCATCTGCCCTAACAGGGAGTTAAGTAGCTAAGCCTTTCTTCCAGCTTGGGTGTGAAAATCTAACTGTCCTCAATGTTCTGTCACTCATTACTGAGAATAGTGCTCTTCAAGATGCCATTCCTCATGGTAACCAGTCCTCAATTCCAGGGAAGCCCAGGAAAAGGCCCACTCTGTACCAAGTGCTCTGCTCACGGTACTCAGGAGAGACAGGTTATCTTTTGGCGGGTGCTTCATGCATCTCCAGGCCTCTCCTGTGTCTTTGTGTGGCTGAGAAGGTGAAACATACTGCTGCTATCAAAAGCTGCAAGCAGTCCCTTCCTCTGGAGACAGGCATTTACTAGAAGAAAAAAGAACCAATAGCTTCCCAGAGCATTGTTCAGCCACATTAGAGAGGGGATTAAGCAGATACATTCAGCTAACAGATTTTCTTTAAGCCTTGAATATGCCTCTCACACTCAGATAATCACATTAATTTTAGCATTAAAAGATCCCTTTTATAGAAGGTACCTAAACCGCCTAAACCACCCAGAGAGGGCGCATATTTTATCAAGCACCAAGACAAACAAAAGAGATTTGTATTCTCATGTTTCCCTTATTCAGAGAGGGAAAGGGGAGAGGGAGGAGAGGACATCAAGGTAGAAATAACTTTGCAAATGGTCAGTGGCTACATAGCTAGTCTCTGGGCAATCAGAGTTGGAAAGGCTGACTGAAAACTCCCTCAGTGTAAGGGTCTATCAACAGAAATAGAAGGTAATTCAGAGGCTGAGGTGGGAGTATAAGGAGTAGGTGGAAACAGGGGTGGTTGACTTTCTGCTGCAGTAAAACTGCATTTAGAAACAAGGAAAAGTAAACCAGTTCAACATTGGAATTATACAACTCTAATTACTACCTCTGTGGCCAGGGTTATAAACTTTTGGCTCTATAGACACCCTAAACAAGTTCTCTAAATTTATTTATTCCAATTGAATCTGGGTAGTTAAGGTAAAAGATTAAAAAAAAAGTCATTTGAATTCTGTATGATTCACATTTCCTATGTGTTAAAGTCGTCACATCATTAATTGTAAAGATGTTTTAAATATTTTTGTTTGTTTGTTTGTACAGTGGGATCTCACTTTGTTGCCCATAATGTTCCTTTTAATTCCTGGGCAAAAGCTATCTACTTGTCTGAACCTCTTGAGTACCAGGGATTACAGGTGGATCTGCCACACCTAGGATAAAGATTTAATTGACCTTATTTTATATTTTGATTCTCTTTCAAGTTAAAATTAAGCTTAGGAATATTTAAGTAAGGTTAATATAAGTTAAAGCTGTCATTATATACATAAAATATACAGAAGTAGAACCAAATTATACTTGCATAAATTTTTTTGCAATTTACTTCTTCAGAAATAAAAACTTCAGTTTCACCTAACAGCTAATATAGCATCAAATGTCAAAGTATGTTAAAGTTTCCAAACTAGTAAGAAGATTTTGTGTAAAGTAGCCTAAAATACTAAAATAAAAGTAGTAATGCCCTCCATTAAACCTTGTCCAAGCCTAAGCTTGAGTTGAACAAGGACCACACCAAAGTAGATGGGAAAAATCCCACAAGACCTCATCCTATGCAAAGAGCTACAGATCACTAAGGAAAGCTTAGAGATGGAGTTTTCCCCAAGGAAGAATACACCAATTGGTTACTCAATACCAAATGGTCAACCCTGAAAGCATTCATACAAGTAACGCTAAGACTGTGAAGGCTGCATTTAGGAATAAATATTTATACAATAACATTTAATTTTTAAAAAAGAGGCATGAATTTGAAAGAGCAAGGAGGGGTATATGAGAGGGTTTGGAGGGAAGAAAGGGAAAAGAAGAATGTTGTAATTATATTTTATTCTCAGAAATAAAAGAGGTTTAATAAAATAAAACCTTGTTGAGGGTCTGGGAATTGTTTTATAAAGCAAGAAATGTTTCCAAACATATGGTAAGAATATGACTGAGAAAATAATATACTAAATGGAAGAGATCTTTCTGCATAAAAACAAAAACAAAACAAAACAAAACAAAAAAAAAAACAGTCTCTCTGTGTCCCTGAAAGGTCTGGATTCAACCTTATTTCCTAACGTAGAAAAGTCTTTTGGAAGAAAGATCTCAGTTTAAGCACCACTTGAAAATTCCGACCCTTTGGAAATGGAAAGAACCCAACATTTATTAATGTCAAATATGCCACCTGTATGAATTACTCTGCTTGTCCTCTGGAAGCCACATAGGAAAGTTCCCAAGCACCTACCACTTGGTGTCCTGCTGCTTAGGACTCTAATGGTACCAGTAACAATAAATAGAACATAAAATTCCTTTTCAAAATAAACAGAACTACATTCTACTTTCTCAGTGGCTGACTTGTCAATTTTCAGAGGATTTGTATTAACAGAATTGGCTCAGTTTTAACAGCACATTTCCTAAGTTGGCAGAATTTAGGCAGATCGTCACAAAATTGACCTTAGAACAGAGAAACTGAGCAGAAGGCCAGATTTCTCCCTGGCAGTACCACAGCAGCAAATAGCCCAGAAAGCTGCCAAGGGGGAAAGGGAAAAAGAAAAGACCTCTGAAAGGACCCAGCCCAGGCACACTGCCTTCCCAACAGCTGGAGCGGATGGGAGCAACACATAGGTAGGTCTGCCTTGTTCTTTATTGCAGCCCAGTTCAAAGGCAGTCATCGAGCTCAAAGGCAGTGGCCCCGTTTCCTGGATTGGCATCACACATCCTACCAGCTGCAGCTGCAGCTGCAGCGTTTTTAATCTAGCTCCTGCTTCTCCTCTTGTGGCAGGAACGGGGACCAGAGACTTCAGCCTCAAAACCAAGGAGACATCGCGGCTTGAAGAGGCAAGAAGTGCCTGTCCCTCTGGGGAAAGACAGTCAGCAACCATGCCAGTTCTGATGGCATGTGAGCTGCCATGATGACAAATTCTTCCAGGAGATGATAAAAGACAAAGAGGACGGAGCATTCCCGGGGTGGGATGGCTGTGCCCACCCCTGTCACTCTCTTTTGTCTCAACTTTGGCCCAACAAATATGACAAAAGAGGGAAAGCAATTCCATACAGAAAATCAAAGTGAGTGGGAATGTGGGTGTAGTGAACATAAAAGAAGAAAACAAAAAGTCATTATTTTTTTTAAACTTTGGCATTTTTATAAAAATCTGCGATCCATTTCTTCATGTGTTTAACTTCCAGTAAGCGAGATAGCAGCACCGTGGAAGGGTCAAGGGCAGTGCCTGCTCGGAGATCTAAATGGTGGGCCCCGTTGGGGATATTGATGGCCACCAGGGTATCTGTAATGTCTTTGGTCACTCCACCTCCTGACCATGGGTCTAAGTCACCATTGCTGCAAATGAGGGGAAGAGGAACAATTAATGTACCTTTATATTGTTTCCACTTTTTCATGAGCATTACTCATTTGAACACTGTATCACTTTCAAGGTTTCATGTAGAAGTACATCTTAATTTCCCCTGAGTATACCTAGGAATAGAATTTCTGAGATATGTGATATCACTTAACTTCTTCAAGAATTTGGATTTTTTTTTTTTTTTTCATTGTGCCTCTAAGCTGGGATGAGAGGAGAGCTTTACCACTAGGCTACATATCAGTCTTCACTGGGGTCTTGATTTTCATATACACTCCCAACTGATAAGGATCATCTTTTCATGTATTACTAGGCCACCTGGATATAACATTTGGAAAATTTTCTATTAAGATCATCATCTTTTTCCCTTGGGGTCTTAATTCAGCTCATGAATAACCCCCCCCCCCAATTGCCTGTACTCCCTGACTTTCATTGTGCAGACTTCAGAGGTTCCATGTACCCAAGTTCCAGAAGTACTAAAAATACTCCTAAACTTTCACATTGTGTTTGTCACTGAAAAATACCTGTGTACATAGACCCGTGTGGGTGTTTCTCTGTCTGGCTTTTAGAAGCTGCTAAGGGCAGTGACTAGGTAAGCTGACACAGACATTCAAGGAACTTCATTCAAAACACTGCCTTAAAATGTTATTGCTGGGCATGGTTGCAGACACACCTGCAATCCCTGCACTGGAAAGGTGGAGGAAGGAGGGAATTCAAGGTCTTCCTTAGCTACATAAAGAATTCAATGCCACTCTGGACTACATGAAACCTTGTTTCAAAAAACAACCAAATGAGCATAATTTTTCCCAGTATGAGAACATAAAACGTCTTCCTAATTAAAGGAATATACTTAGATAAGAGGTGAGAGATTCATTAATCTATGAGTATAATGGCATGGCAAGTCATCAGGAGTTGGTTTAATATGCTGTCTGTTTAGCAGCATAGCAGTAGTGGGTTCTTCTCTGGACCTGTCTAACACAGGTTCTTAGCTGATAATGGTGCTAGGTAACCAAGAGCAATGGCAATAGCCTGTTAATGTCTGGGGGCTTTTTGGGACCTCATCAACAACTCCCAAATAATTAACCAATTCCTGGCATTGGGCTTTTGGGCTTTTTACTAGTTAGACTTTGACATCTAACAGCGACATTGTATGTTTGTATGTTTTGTGTGTGTGTGTGTGTGTGTGTGTGTGTGTGTGTGTGTGTGTGTGTGTATGGTTTTTTTTTGGGGGGGGGGACTCTAGATACCTGGGCAAAATTCCCAACAGCCAGCCTCACTTAATCACTGGCAATAATTAATTTGCTTTTAGTTATCCAGTTCTTCATAGGGTCCCTTCTGAATTTATACTTAAATAACTGAGAATCACCATTGGAGAAATAATCTATGGGCTTTAGAAAATATAAATCCTCCCAAGAAAACCACTGTACAATGAAAAGAATTACCAAAGTAGGACTACAATAACACCTAATATTCATTAAGGCCTCATCTACTCAACAAATGTTTGCTGAGTACCCACCTTGTGTCTGGCACTCAAGAGGGGATTGGCATCGCTATTAGAGTTTATGCTACTTTATTACCTAGCACTTTCCCAGTTCTATTTTCTCAGCCATTTTGCAAGTGTCTCCATCAAACAATAAGCTCACCTGAAGATGATGTTTGAGTGTGAACTGATGTTTTTGCCACCATACAAAGTAGTTATCCAATAAGGCCGTGGTTTCACACCCCATTGGCTAAAACAATCCTCGGAAAACTTATCTAAGTCCCACAGATAACTTTCAAACATGTCATCAACACCATTAGTACAAAAGGGCATGACCATTTCTGTGCAGGACTGAAAAGCAAAGCAGAAAAGGAAACAAAGGGAAACTGAGGTAAAAAAGAGATTAAATTATGAAAATTTATTTAGCTGCTAAATCTAAGCTAAGGCCTGAACTTGCAATTGAGCTTCAGTCCCCTATCCTACCCCCAACTTCCCTACCACATAGCCCCTTATTTCTCATAGAAAGACATGGCTGAAACATCACAGAAGTTAGAACTGTTTTCTTTCTCCTTCCTTCCTTCTTTCCTTCCTCCCTTCCTTCCTTCCTTCCTTCCTTCCTTCCTTCCTTCCTTCTTTCCTTCCTCCCTCCCTTCCTTCCTTTCTTTTGCAAAGAGCCTTCTTTCATATCTTTGACCATATTCAACCCTCAATACAACCCTGGCAGTCTTACTGGGCAGGTGACAGACTCTGAGGCAGGGGTCCAGTTAGAGCCCCCCACCCCTTCTTTTACAGCCATACAGTGCCTCCTTTCCAGGACTTGTCAAGGTCTATTACAATGTTAATTTATCTAGCTTTCTCATCAGGCTATATTTTATGGTAAAAATCATACAAATTATTTATTTTTATATATTTGAAACATAATGTGATCAATGATAGCCATTCATTATATATTTGCTAATGATTAAATATAGGAATAAAGGAAGGAAAAATGAAGGAGAAGGAAAGAGAGGGTCATGTTGCAACTTCACAGTGGCCAGACTTGGAAGCAAGTGAGGTAGCAAAATGACTGGTAGTATATTACAGTGAAATAACACCAGTGAAGAGCAAAGTGAACTCGGAAAATCATGCATGCTCACCTGGTAGCTCCAGCCAGTGGAGCCTAGACTGCTAGTAGTTGTTTGTGAAATATTCAGGCATTGTACTTGGCCTGAATAATTATAATATATATTCAGAGCTTGGAAAATATTCTCCATCAGCACTGTATCAGATACATTAGGATTTTTCAAATATTGGCACACTACCTAAGAGGTAAACATGGAAAGAGTCAGATATGAATATAATTAATAACAGAGAGGAAATATTATCTCAATTTTATCATAAGCCATTGATAAACATCTTAATTCAGTGCTTAACAATTTCTACTTCTGAATAATAACTCTCTCAAAGAAAAAACAAAACCTTTAACTTCACCATAGGGTAGTGAAATAGATCAGGTATATGCATGGTTGCAAAGTGGCCTTCATCTCTTCTGGTTCCTTCTTTGCTGACTTTGTGCCAGTGTTCAGTAAAATCATTCTCCACCACACCATGCTCTTTCCATCTTTCCTCAAATCGCTTTTTACACTCATTAAATCTGTGAGTGTCTGGCCAATCTATCCTTTATAATACCCACCTGAAATATCCCCTCTTCTCTGAGGTTACCCCTGCATGTGTTTGCCAGCCTGGAAAAGCTAAACCATTCTCCTCTCGATAGTTCACTCCACTCTGTACCTGTTTGGATCTCAGCCACTATAATACAGTTTTGCATGCATCTGATATCAGAATGTCTCCCTCAGTGCTTAGTAAAGTCTCCAATAACTAAATCTTTGCTGGGTGAAGGACTATATTTTCACAAGAATGTAAAAGTTTTAAAAATTGCATTTGTGGATCTGTGAATGTATATGGGAGTGTGTGTGTGTGTGTAAATGTAGGCCAAAGGGCAACCTTAGGAATCATTCTTTCATTGCTATCCACCTTGTTTCATTGCCTTGTTTTCATTCCTACTCATCAGTAGGAAGGGCTGGCTTGCCATCAAGTGCAGGGGTTCACCTGTCTCCATTTCCTTGACAATGGGATTACAAACATGGGCCACCATACATTGCTTTATTACTTTCTTTTTAAAACAAGAAGGATCTCACCATATAACATCCAATATTTCATTTTTTTCTAATAATTTTTGTTTACATATCGTTTTTACCTTTGTGGTTTTTCCTTTTGTTTGTTTTCAGTGCAATTATTACTTCATTGTATTTTTACAGTTTTTGTTATTCCCTTCCTATATTCATCTACTTTTATCCCCACTATTGAGCAATAGTTTTTCTCTTCCTTAGTTTTTTTTTTTTTTTTTACTTTTTTGCCTCCTTGTTTCCTTCTTCCCTTACTCTCTACTATTAGCATATTCTGAATTTTACTTTTTGTTTTTTAAAAACATTCTGATTTTTAAAAAATTTTATGTCCCTTCTTGCATTTACTTAATTTTGTTTGGTTTTTAACATTTTTTGTTATTGGGAACCCTTTTACTGTTTTTCACCTTTGTTCTCTTTATCCTGTTCTGTTCATCAAGCTCTTGCTCTTCTCTCTTCCCACCGTTAACATTTTCTCCACTCCTTCATTTTCCACTCTTTTATTTAACCTCACTTTCCCTCTGTCTTCCCTTTTTTTTAATCTCACTTATTTGTTATTTCTACACTTATCCTAAATTATTTTTAACATACATTCTACAATAGTCTCGCCATTTTCAGTCTTATGGTCATTAGTAACAAAGTGGATTTCTACCTCTTGAATGCTTTGATGTAGCAGTACACAGAGCCATCTCTCTAGCCCACCTCCCTCCCCACTTATCTTTGGATAGGTTCTCCAAACTAAAAAGTGCCAAACATGCCTCAGAGTTCAATTACACCACAGATTAGACGGACTTCTCATAAATTTATAGGCTACTCCATCTAACAAATACAATGTTCGTTACTCGTGAAATCTCTTCTAAAAGTATCATTTTCTAGGCTTCAAATCCAATCTTATGGAATATTAAAGATTCTAAATAATTTCTTGTATATTACCAGATCATAGTTCAGTAAAACTAGAAATCAATAGCAAGGGAAACTACACAAAAACATGGAGAAAGAACATTACACTTATGGCTGACTAGAGGGTCTAAAAGAAATTGGAATTAAAATTCTAGAATCAAATGAAAAAGAAAACACAACTTTACCAGAATCTTCAGGATATAATTAAAGCAGTTCTAAGTGGCCCTAGTTATTGGTGCTTATATTTTAATCATAAATCTTTCACATAAGTGATTTAGTGGCATACCTTAACGTATTAGAAAAATGAGAGTATTACAAATCCAAAAGCAGCAGATAGAAAGAAATAGTAAAGACCAGAGCATGAATTAATGCAATGGAAACTAAAAGAAAAACTCATAGAATCAATCAAGGGGTTAATTCTTAGAGAGAAAGAAAAAATTTATAAATCAGAATGACAAACACCTAGCCAAACTAGGCACAGAAAAGAGGGGTATTAAGTTAACAAAATAAGAGGTGAAAGAGGGATGTTATTACTTATGCCAATGGAATCCAATCATTCGTGGTAATTTATCTTCATTGTCACCTTTAATTGGGCTTAGAATCACCATGGAAACAAATCTCTGGCTAGGGATAGGAGGTGTTTCCAGTAAGGCTTCACTGAAGAGGGAAGATCCACCCTAAATATAAGCAGCACCACCCCACAGGCTGGGGTTTCTACTGAATTACAAAAGAGGAAAGGGCTTCCTGAAGAGGATTCAGTGTGACCAGTGCTGCTGTGACTCCATGATGGATGCATCCCCAGAATATGAGACAAAATAAAGCCCTCCTCACTTAGCTTCTTGTCAGGTAGCTAGTCACAGCAATAAGAAAAGTAACTAAAACACTTCAAAAGAGGAAATGCAAATGGCCTCTGTGTGTGTGTGTGTGTGTGTGTGTGTGAGAGAGAGAGAGAGAGAGAGAGAGAGAGAGAGAGAGAAGGAAGGATGGAAAACCAATTACTGAGAGCAAGAGAAATAGTCTTCCCCAGGAAAAGCATATCAATTGGTTATTCAAAATGAAATGGGTCAGCCCTGAAAACATTATGTTTATATATTTAAGCCATGATTTGGAGAGAAAGCAAAGAGGAGAAATTGAAGGGGGGGGAGGGAAAGAAGGATATATTATAGTCTCAAAAAAGTAAAAATACTGGAGATGTTAATAGTTGTCCAATCCTGATGAAGGCATATCATCTTTTATGGAACTATTTTTTGCCAGTGTTCTCTAGATTTAAAATTTTTAAACTAATACAACAAAACTCCATCATGTATACAAAAGCAAAGAATAAGATACAAGGGAAAAAGAGGAGGAAGAAAGAAGGAAGGAGGTATGGAGAGAGAGAAAGGGAGGAAGAAAGGAAGACAAATGGCTAATAAACACTTGAAAAAGTGTTGAAGTCTCAAGATCATGATGGGAAAACCCACAGAGCTAGCTGACTTGAGCTAATGGGAGCTTATGGATTGTATAGCGACAGCTGGGGAGCTTATTAGACAGAACTAGACCCTCTCCATGTGAGTGACAGTTGTGTAACTTATCTATTTGTTGGACCCCTGGCAGTAGAACCAGGATCTACCCCTGGTACATAAACTGGCTTTTTGGAGCCCATTCCCTATGGTGGGATGGATGCCTTGCTCAGCCTTGATGCAGGGGGTGTGGCTTGGTCCTGCCTCAACTTAATGTGCCAGGCTTTGTTGACTCCCCATGGGAGGCCTTACCCTCTCTGAAGAGTGAAGGGGAATGGGGGGGGGGGAGAAGAGAGGAGGGAGGGGGAACTGTGGTTAGTATGTAAACAGAACTTAAAAGAAAAAATGTACTGAAGTCCTTAGCCACCAAGAAAATGCAAATTAAAACTGCTTTGAGATTTCGTTTCATCCCAGGAAAAATGTCTATCATCAAGAGAACAAATGACAAGAAAGGTTGGTGAGGATATGGGGAAAGAGAAACTCTTATATACTACTGGTAAGAATATAAATTAATAAGTAAGGAAGCCACTCAAAATAGAACTACAGTTCAACTACTCTTGGCTAAATACCCAAAAGATACTAAGGCAGCCTACCACAAAGATCCCTATTAATGTCTAGAAAGAAATGAACGTGAGCTTACATGCCCACCAACAGAAGAACAATAAAGAAAATGTGCTATTTACAAATAATATGCAATTCTATTCAGGAAAAATGAAATGATGACATCCCAGGAAACTGAATGGAACAGGAAGTCATTTTTTTTTATTTTATGCTTTAGTTTATTCATAAAGGTGTTTTTCCTGAATGTATATCTATACACCATATGCATGCCTGGTACAGGTGTCAGGTCCTCTGAAACAGGAGTTACAGAGAGTTGTGAGCTGCCATTTAGGTACTGAGAATTGAATCCGGATCCTCTGTAAAAGCAGTCAGTTCTCTTAACTGCTGAGCCATCTCTTCAGTCCCTGGGAGTCATGTTTAGAATAATAAATTAGACTCAAACAAATGCTGCATGGTTTCTCTCATATATGAAATACAGGTTTAAAGGTATGTGTGTGTATGAGAGAGAGAGAGAGGAGAGAGTTTGTGTGTGTGTGTCTGTCTTAAAAACTAAAACTTAAAACTAAAATAGGATCATGAGAGGAGAGGAACTAGAGAGAGTCAGAATACATACACACGAAAGCAGAAGGTGTCTGTTTAGGGAAAGGAGAGGAACCAGCAATAGAAGGGGAACAGAGAATGGAAGAAAACTATGGAGATGGGTGATTTAGAACAAAGAGTAACGACTGTGTGTGTGTGTGTGTGTGTGTGTGAAAATCACATAACAAAACCTATTACCTTTCACGTAAACCTAAAAAATATTAAAAACAAAAAAACACAACAATGCTCTTTCAAAGCTGAGAATGAGAAGAGGCCCAGTGGTCTTTATGCATACTGAAGAGTCAAATGGCAGAAGGCTTTTCCTTTTCTCCTCTTCCTGCTTCCTACATACCAACTCTATAATTATTTGCTCACGGGTATATAACTTCTGTTAACAGTGGGAAATGTAAACACATGTGCAAACTCAGAAGACAAATTAAAAAGTGACAATTGAGCTACACAAAAATATTTAATTTGCCTGTTATTTGTTGAAATCACAGTATATGAAGTAAATAACTCCAACAGAAAATAGATGTTTCCTATTAATTACAAGGTTTTAATAAAGAAACTGTAAAATTAAAAGTACTCATGAACCAGACCTAGTGACACAGGCTTGCAACACCAGCTGCTGGGGAGGCCTGCCTGGACAACAGAGTAACTTCAAGACCAGTCTCAAAACAAAACTGTGTCTCAAAACAAGAGGCAGATGCTATCACAAAACCAGTGATTGAGCTCAGCATGTGAGAGATCCCAGAATCAACCACTATAGTGTGGATGAGAGGTGGAAAGGTGGTACTTTTTTTTTAATTTTTATTTTTTATATTTTACTTTGCAGGATCTCATATATTCCAGTCTGACCTTGAACTTGCTATGCAGCAGAGGGCAACCTTGAACTTCTAGGCTACCTGTCTCTATCGCCCAAAGGCTAGGAGTACAGGACTGTGCATGGTCCTGAGATGTGGTACTTTCGAAACCTGGCTCTCACATGACTAATTCTAGTTTCATTTCCAAAACCTACTTTGGAAATACCATCAATTATATCCTCAAACCTTAACTATGAATCCAATCAGGCTTTGGTTTTAAAACTAATAGAGACATTCTTAACAAAGGGATATTTAAAGATGAGCATATGTAACAAATACTCTTACCATGAAAAGAACTTTAGCATTGGGAAAAATTTTAAAAAAATGAGTGTGATACATTTTCACACTGAAAAAAGAACATAAAATTATCATATTTACTACTCCCAGATGTCTTCAAATCTAACATGTCACATGGTCCTCAGCAGAACTCCACGCATTTACTTTTGTGCTACTGTACAGAGGAAGACAGCGTGCCTTGGAGAAAAGACCCCCTTGTTTAGGATGACAGGGTGGTAAGCTCCAGGCCATGCTCTGGCTACCAGCATGTGAAAAGATTCTTTTGCATGCTGCTGTTTGGCATGTGGGTCATCATTTATAATAAGTGTCATATTTAGAATGACTTTAACAGTCCACTGAATCATACAATGACAAAAACTACCTCTTATCCAGCTAAGTTAAAGAATTACATGGATCTAGATATGATGCATATATCATAAAGATGAGATACACTACACAAAGTACAGCCCAGAATTTGGTACAAAGTAGTTATTCCATTAGCACCCTAATTATTGATCTTATTCCTTATTGCTATGATGCTGTAACTGATGAGATTTATCTCCAGTTCTCAAATGAGAAAACTGATGTCAGAAGACATATCTAGAATGTCTAAGGTCACATAATCAGAAAGCTGTAGAACTCAGGATTCCAGCCCACAATCATTAATTTCACAAAGTTACTAAGTAACTGGGATTTTTTTCTTCTGATGTTGAAAGTCAGAGATTATGTATCAAAAAAAGAAAAAAATATTTTATAAAAACAACAACAACAACAAAAAGAAGACACTTTTCTGTTACCTTGACAGGCCAAGCAGGCAAGGGCTGTAAAAAGTTGGCTTCATAAGGGTAGTCCACCATAGCCAGGTTCACCCAGGTCTCCGAGATCCAATCTTTTAAATTTGAGATGTCCCCAGGAGTCAAAGGGCTACATAGGTGAAGGGTCTTTGAGAGCTGTTGGAGACCACTGCCTGAAAATAGAAGGGTACTGTTAATCTACAGATAAACCAATCATTTAATCTTTACTTGGTATTACAGGAAAAAAAAACATGTTTCTACATGACTTCTCCAAGACTTTTTCCAACATTCAAGAAAACATTATAGGGCAACTAGATAGAACCATAAAAATTGCTAAAATTAACACTACTCCCAAGTTTAAGATACTATTGAAATAAAATGCTAAAAAGAATGCATAAACTATGACTAAATTAAATATAGATATATTTAATAATTAGAAAAGTGATTATAACCTTCCTGATGGCTGTGATTCTTTAATAAAATTTCTCATGTTGCAGTGACCTCACTAACCACAAAATTATTTTAATGCTACTTCATAACTGTAATTTAACTACTGTTATGAGACATAATATAAAGATCTGATATACAGGACATCTGATAGGTGACCACTAAAAAGGTTGAGGCCTACAGGTTGAGAACCACAGAATTAGATTGGGCACAAGACAGTAAACAAAAAACTAACAAGCAAAATGCCACATACTGTGTAACTCTCATTACTAAGATGCAAGTATCAGAAAATCACCCTATGGTTCAAAGTGAGATTTGCTGTGTAGGCATGAAGAATACTGAGGACAGCAGCAGGGATTTATTTATGAGGTGCTGGCTTTGTCTTTCTGGATCTGGATACTACTAATACCAAGCACTGGCTTTAAAATTTTTATTCATTCATATATTTTGATTGGTATGATTCTCTATAAGTATAGTGTGTGTGCGTGTGTTTAATATGTGGCAGTGTTAGGCTAGGGAGAACCTCCAGTAGGTAGAGTGCCAGCCATACAAACATCCAGACCTGAGTTTGAATTCCTATAACCCATATAAAAACCCATAAGTGTGCCAGTAACTCCAGTTCAAGTCAGAAGGGGAAAAAATAAGTGTACCTGTGAAGCTCACTGGCCAGCCAGCCTAGCCTATTGATGAGTTTCAGGTTCAGTGAGAAACTATATCTCAAAAAGAAGATAAAAGGGAGGATGACCTTGAAAAGAGGTATCAAGATTGACCTCTGACCTCCACACCCACACACATGCATGCCCACTACACATATACAACAATGGTCACATACCATACAGGCACATAGAAAACAATGTACATCATATATACTATACACAGATAAACAACACAACAAAGATGGGTGATTATTTACAAAAATAATTTAGAAAGTGGCAGTGATCTTTTTTTTTTTTTCTGGGGGCTGGGGTCGAGACAGGGTTCCTTTGTGTAGCCTTGGATGTCTGGGAACTCGCTCTGTAGGCCTCAAATTCACAGAGATCTGCCTACCTCTGCCTCCTGAGTGTGGGGATTAAAGGTGTCTGGCACCATCACCCTGTGGCAATATGGATTTTTCATATGTTAAAGGTTAAGAAAAACAAACTAACTACAAATCCATTGTCTTAATGAAAGCTTACCTGTACTTGAGAGTCGGTTAATGGCATCCCAGGATCTGCGGATGCTCTCTGAACAATATGGACCACTTTTCCTAAAATCTTCAGTTACAATCTTCATAAACACACTACAGGGAACCAGATCCTCAAACTGCCAGATAGGGGCAGAAGCTGCCAGAGCTCTGAATGAGAAGGGAAATGAGAGGAGAAAGAAAGAAATATAATTCATCTACTCGTTTTTCTTTATTTGTTTTGCTTTTTTGAATGTTTGTGTGCACATGTATGCACTTCAGTGTGTGTGTGTGTGTGTGTGTGTGTGTGTGTGTGAATGCATGTTACATGTGTAAAAGTCCCTGTAGAGGCTAGAGAAGGAGTCACAGAATGGAGCATGCTTTACTAAAGACAAATTTCTAATTTCCTCTCAGCTGTGTTCAGCATAAATGCACTTACCCAACTACTAAGTGAGGATATTTCATCCTGAACCAGGCTGCAAGCATGCCACCATAAGAGCCCCCGATGACAATGACAGGTTGATTTTCAGCTCCTGGGACAGTTTCTTTCAAGTGTCTGATTAACTCTGCAAAATCAGCCAGAGCTTGTTCGGATGTCAGAAAATTCAAGTGTTGGGAATCCTGTATATGTGTATATTATTTTAAGAACAAAGACAAAGAAACCAGGCATAAATGTGCACATAATGGCAGCTGAGGTGCAGCATATATTCAGAAGTTTTCATTCCTTGAAATAGATTTCCAGACAATCCTACCACATCCACATCAAAGCAATCCACAAGAAGTAACTAAGTTCATGAAAGAACATAATATATTTTCTAACCAAATGCAATTTCATTGTTTTTAAAGGTATTTTGTTTGTTTGGTTGGTTGGTTGGTTGATTGGTTAGTTGGTTGGGTTTTTTGGTTTTGTTTTTTCAAGTACAATACAGGAGGCAAGGCCTAAGACACATTTAAACATTTAAGATACTGTCCTTAAAGGACAGAGATTTCACTATGGCCTACTTGAACATTTAGCCAGTTTGATTCCTCTGATTTGCTGAGAAATGTAAACTGTATATATGGTGCATAGTTATCTTTAATGTACAAAGCTCCTTATTTGAGGAAGATTTATAAAAGGAACCATCCTAGAAAGGAGATCCTAGGCAGGTATTGCCAAGTACCACACACTGGCATTCCTTGGTCCCAAAGTGCCTCCATTGTCCCCAGCAGGTCAGCCTCCTCCAGAATAAACAGTGATGGTTTAGAGCAAGGCTATGGGAACCCACAGGGTCTGTACAGGAGGCTTTCTGAGCCCTTAGCTTATGTTTTATGGGTGGATGACAGTGATCTTATGAGGTTTGAAGGTTATTTTTGAGTAATACAAAGTTGCAGTAAGAGTTATCACTGCAGTATGTCTGAAACTCTTAAAATTTGCTGGTAACTCTTCAGTCCTAAAAATTTAATTTTCCTTCTTGTATGAAGTTCACCAGTTCTACTGGACAAAACCTGTGTTTCTTCAACACTTTCACACAAACACACAACTACAAAAAGGAATGGAAACAATTGCCAAACCCAAAGATCTGTTGGCAGCATGGGAGAATGGAGGAAGTGTCCTGAAAGGACTGTAGAGATCTAGTCTGTCAGACAAAGGCAGCAGAGGAGGTGTGAGCTGACAGCCTAAGTGAGAAATTCCAGGCCCCAGGTCCAGCTCCTCTGCTATGGAAGCCACCACAATGATCTAGACAGTGAAGAATACTCTGGATACTGACAGACATGTGCCCCTCCCCTTCTCTAAATCCTTAACCCAGAGTTTTGCCTCAGTGCCCCCCATAGCTCTTTCGGCAGGATGGCTGGCCATGGGGAAATGAACACACCCCATCTGCTTCCTTGAAGGCACTTAAGTACTATCTTGTCACCTCCCTGGTAATGTAGCCCTGCCTTGGCCCTAGCCTCAAAGTGTCGCCATTTCAAACATCACAACACAATTTGCAGGCTGTTTTTCCAAAAGGACAACAATGTTCTCTGCCCAGGCCTATCACACATCCATTTGCACTAGCTGCTTTTTGCTCAAGGCCTTGTTGAGGTTGTGGAATTAATACAAACATTTAGCAATAAAAGGATGGAATATGAAATTCAGTTTAATATGTGACTATTATAATTTCATTTCAAGTCTTGACATATTTCAACTGTCTAAGAAGTAATGGAATACAAACTAAGTCCTGCAGACAACTGAGAAAAGGATCCCAAGCCAAGATAAACCCTCTCCTTACCAGAAAGATTATATATTTGCTACAGCAACAATTGGAAATAAACTCAGCTGCCAATCACAGACAGCTATAAAACTGGAAGGGAAATAATGTATCAATAGAAGACAATGATCCTTGAGTAAAAGGAAACCCATTCAGCAAGCTCTATGAGGATTTGGCTCTCTGTGCCAGTCCATTTTCCTATGCAAGATGAAGTGCTGAACTCATCAGGCTAACAGATACTGTTTAAATGCATCAATAAACCTTTCACACTCCTTTCTTTTAAACATACAACCCAATTTATTCCTTTGGACTTGGGCTATACTTAGTGACTAGGTTCTAGTGAATAAAATGTGGTGGAAATGGTGATCTATTACTATCTTCTAAAGACCTGTTCACTTCAGCTTCCATCTTGGCTTGCAGTGTTGGGAGAAGTTAGCTACTACTTTGCAATGCTCCTCACACAGGCACACTGGACAGTGAAGGAGGAGAGCATCATAGGCCTCTTGCCAGGGTCCACAGCAGTTTATCATTCCTCTGATGATCTTCTGGGATGGATTCCAGCCTTCAGATGGCTGCCACTTTGTCTCACTTTTTAGCCTAGAGACACCCTGAAGCACAACCTTCCAACTAAGCTCTTCTTAATTCCTCGCTCATAGGAATTGTGAAGTAATGAATGCTTTCCACTGGGCTGGAGAGATGGCTCAGCCATTAAAGGCTAGGCTCACAACCAATTCTGGTGTGTTTGCTCATGCTTGTGACTCCAGCATTGGAATAGGAGACAGAGAAGATTATGAGCTAAAGACCAGCCTGCATTACATATCTAGGCCCTATCGCTAAACAACCCAGCACAAACAATAAGTTTACTGACTCTTTAAGTCAGGACTGCTTCTTATACATGGCACTAGATAACTGACACAGCTATATACCTTTGTCAGACTCACCTATTTCACCTTCATTCTAGGTCTCACCACCCTGACACCTTCAGGCAATTAGCATATTTCTGTGTCACATAGTACCTAGCATTCCTTTTCTCCTATAGGCTTACCCTACTACATTAACCTTCGCCCTCATCCAAAACTAGGAAGACTTCTCATCTCTTCTCTCTGTTATACTTTACTTCTGTTTTATGTGATACTACATATAGCTGAGTGCAGTTGACTTCAGTTCTCAAATAATATTTATAATGTCCCTTATGCTACTGACAACTTTTGTGAGCACAGAAAAAGAAGAAAGTATGTCAAAAACAGATGTGGGTCCACTTTGCTGGCGGAGTGTTGATTGTAGCAAGCTACAGAAGGTTAAGATACAACAACTTGAATGTTTCCCATTGGTTTCAGTGCCTGTTCACTCTACTAGTCACATGTGTACCTAAAATAAACTAAAGAATGAAACTTTTCATTCAGCCCAACAAATTATAACACACCACTCTGCTATTGACTTATAGCACATGTACATTTTAAACTTATTTTTTATTCATAATAACATAAAAAAACTCAGTTAACTGAATATAAAGTTTTTAAAGCTCCTTTCAAAACATCCTGAAATATGGTCATTCTCAAATTATTTTAGATGACAATTCACAAAAGGATAGTATCACTTTATTGAATGAGACAAAAGAAATTAGGTACTGAATAAGCATTTTAATATAACATTTATTGTCATGTTATAAAGAAATTTGGAAAATATAATCAGTACATAAAGTCTTTGGCTAATATAATGCTAACTTTAAAAAACTGAGTTTTCTAAGGAAAATACTAATTACAGGCTCTGTGGGAAATTACTATAGCTAGGAGGACATGGGTAAAATAAAGTCATTCAGTGGAGGAAAAAGCATCCACAGTCATTAAACGTACAGCCTGACGAAGGTCAAAGCCAGGGGTTCTTATAAGAAGGGAAAAGCTAATGGGAACACCAGGAGTAACATGACCGCACAGAGCTCATTTATTCTTATATACTGATTACATGTTACTGAAAAATCATTTTCATATATTTGCACACTAATCTACTCCTAAGGCAGAAACACTAACTTAGTACCTAATTTACAGAAGAGAATTGTTTGCTGACACCATTAAAATAAAGAAAATCCCCTAACTGTGCACAGTAGTAGAGTAAGACTGACCTGGCTGAAGCCAGCCTGAATAACCAAACTTAAACTAATAGAAACTGTACATGTACTTGATGGTAAAGACCTTACACTGAACATGTTAGGCCTGCTCAGATCCCCAGAACCACAAATAAGGCAAAACAAACAAAAAACAACTGACAGGGAGCTGGAGAGATAACTCAACAGTTAAGAGGACTTATTGCTCTAGCAGAGGACCTGGGTTTGGTTCTCAGTACCCTCACTTTGGCTCCCAGCCATACATAACTGCAGTTTCAGGAGATGCCGTGCCCTCTTCTGAACTTCACCTACACCCTACATGGTGCACAGACATATGCATGCAAAACAGTTATATACATAGAATAATCCCGAACTTTTAAAAAGTAAAAGTGTCAGCAATTAAAAAGACATGGCTTTAAAGGCCTTGGAGTAGGTTGAGAAGAGAGCTTGGTGGGAGTATTTGCTCTGCACTCTGCCTTGGGTTTGACCCTCAGCACAAAAAGGAAAATTCTCCCAAATTATAGAAGGAAAGAGAAGGTACAAACCATTGAGTTTTCAACCAGTTCAAGTTAAACTGATCTCACATTTTGTATGAGTATAAATGTTCCAAACTTAAACAGAAACTATCAAAAAGGGTGCCCCAAATCTTTAACCTTAAAAGAAAAATGTATACTTACCTTGAATGAGTCCTCCCCAAAGGGAAGGGATTCCCCATAGTATCGATGTTCAGCAAACACCAGCATAGCTTTCAGCTCCTCAGCCACATCCCACATGAACCCCTGGGAAGAATTCACAAATTCACTACTAAATTAGGACTTTGCAGTGAACCTCCGCAAACCATATGGAATAGATATTAAATCATACCAGAAAGAACTCTGAAAAACTGTGCAATTTTAAGTGTATTCCACAGAAACATCCACAACAGATGTATCACACTGTATTGGAGTAGAACCAAGACCAATGTACTACTCATTTCACATCTTCTTATTGTGTGACCCTCTGACCCTGGGTCAATACTATAATGTCAGTCTTCAAACAACACTATGCTTAATATTCTCAGAAGGAGGTAAAGATATCTAAGCTGCTCCCCAAAGACATACACAGACAACATAAAGGAATTAACAGACAGATAAGCATATTAAACTAACTAGAGATTTTAATCTTATATATTAGGAAATTAACTATCAGCATCTGTTATTAATTTGTTTCCAATGTATCAGGTACTGTTCTAGCCACTCCATGTAATAATTCACCTACTTAGCACAATAATCAGGAATCAGACACTGTGGTTTTACAGACAAGGACACTCAGACACAAGCTCAGTGTTCACACAGGTGACCAAGCTAAGACTGAATTACAGGCTGTAACACAGAGCAGTCACCAAGGGCCACTTGGCTCCCTTACACCCCATACTGATGGCTCCTCACTATTTGCTGCCTCTTTCCCTTTGACTAGATGCTGCCTCTGAATCCTTCTTAAGAAAGCATCCCAGGCACACAACATGAATTGATTAGACATTTAGCTAGCGTGGATCAAAGCCTTGTCATTCCTGATGAATGCCATTGGTGTTTAACAAGTTACTACTCCCTATCAAGGCATGGGAACCTAAAAATGAGCAATCTATAAGGAATTAAAAGAGCTACCTGTGGGGATAATGGGCATGTTAGCGTGATACCTGTGGTTTTCAAGCTAACCCCCCCACCTTCTCTTTCACAGAGCTGTTCACTCCTGCCACATATCACATGCCCAGCCACACCCAACTCAGGCACATCGTCCTCTGCATGCCCAGGCACAGCAGAGCTGTCCATCTCCCCTCAACATCAGACTGCTTAAAGAGTTCCTCTGCTGCTTCAACAGGAACTCACACATACGACTTCCACCACTAGATTGTGATTATCTTAAGAGTAGGAACAGACTTCTGTGGAGCTGATCTCTGGCTTTGACAGGAAGCAGCTTAACGGAACTGATGAATGCACGAAGCAATTAACCATTGGTTGCTTGCATCCGTTTCAAGGGTAATTTTGTCTTTTAATACCAGCAAGTTCCTTAATCTTATTTATTAATTAGTCTTTACAAATCTATGAGCTAGGAATTCTTACTATAACTACTGAACAAAAGAGAGAGCTGAAGCTGGAGTTAAAAGCTTGCTCAAGTGAAATAGCAAATTGGCAGTCAGAACTGAAATCTCATCAATCTGCTTAAAGTCTTTACTGCTTCTCAAAAAATTAATATCCAGAGGTGAATATGAAATTGAAATACTATAGTTTGTAGGAAGATGCCAAGTACTGGGGAGGTCCAGGATCTTGCCCTTCTAGGATCTGCTTCTGATGCTTATATACAACTGTTCCTCTCCGACATGGCTCTTCCTTCCCACCTCTCTGAGGACATGGATACCCTGAAGTGTGCAGTGGGGCTATAGAGCCTGAGGAGCACTAGGGTCTAAAGACTGAATATCTCACTGCCTGTATTAAAACATAGAGGGACTGTCTAGGAAACATTGCCTGTGGGTTTGCAAAGAAGAATAGCTAAGGAAATGAAGATCTTGTGTGATGCATACCTTTAATCGTAGCACTCGGGAGGCCGAGGCAGAGGGTTCAGTGTCAACATGGTCTATATAGCAAGTTCCAAGACATCCAGGGCTACACAGAGAGACCCTGCCTCAAACAAACAAAAAACAAAACAAAATGGAAAGGGACAGGACAGTACCATTTATACAAAATAGCCCCAGGAATCTGGACATTTAGTTCCCATGACATCATTTCTCAGGATATATTTTATTTTTATATATATATATATATATATATATATGTATATATATATATATATATATATTCATATTCTTTTGATTGTTTGGCTTTCCAGGTTGGGTGTCAACTATATAGGCCAGACCAGGATAGGCTCAAATTTACAGTCTTTTACCCAACCTTCCTGAGTGCTACATAGAGCAGTGCATCCCCGTGCCCCGGGGGATTCAATTCTTGACAATCTGAAGAATATAATCACAAATGAGTAATGGAGTAATAGCATAATTAGATTCATGTCTTTGCTGTCAACTCAGTTCAGTTCAACAAACATTTACCAAGATCCCTTGGGTATGGTGCCATGCCAGACACTGGCACCAGAGTCTGTACTATTCCCTACTTGAGAGTAGTTCACAGCCTAGCTTCTTGGTAGAAATTTTAGATTTTTCTGGTCACTGCACTCGTACACTGTAAAGGAGATTTTCTTAGTTCTGCATTCCTTCCAACTTAAGTTTGTTAATAGATATATTGTTAAAAGGTGCTAGAAAATATAGTTAATGAAGCAAGCTAATAGATTATGCTGTTTTAATCCATACAAATTAAAATTCAATAGAACAAGAAACTAAATGAAAATGCAGCTACTTTACCTTCCCTTCCAATTTACACTCAAATTTTTATATTTTTTCCTTATTTGCATTGGTTTTGTTTCAGTCTTACTTACTAATTGATGAATATTTATTGAACATCTACTACATATACAACACAGTTCTTCACTTTAAAAGTACAATATTAAAATAAACAAAAAAAAATTCCTACCCTTACATTTACCTTGTATAGGGCCATAATCAAATCAACTATACATAACAATGTCTCATGCCTGCTGGCCTTATAATTAAATTTCTCCCCACCAAAAAAAAGTGGTTTTGCCTATTTGTGTTGAGACAGAGCTTCACGAAGGTCCTTCTGGCCTTGAACTATATGGCAGCACAGGCTTGCTCTGAATTCCTAGACAGCCCTGACTAACTGACATTTTTCATTCACTCATGAACCTTTGCCATCTTTCTATTACTATTTTATTTTATTTTCTGTTACATTTATTTACTTATTTGGGGGAGGGCACATGCCATATCACACTGGAGAACAAAGAAAAACATGCAGGAGTTAGTTTTCTCTTTCTGTCATGCAGGTCTCAGGGATGAAGTCAGGCCATGAGCTTATGCCAGCTCAGCCATCTTTTAAAGAACATTACATTAAAAATGGTAATTCTTTGTCATTTACACGGCTAAACATTTTCTCCCATTTATCACTATAGACGGTACTATTTCAGCAGCTCACCAATGTGTACATACCGTATTATTGCAAAACCAGACAATGTCCCCTTCATTACCAGTGTAGAAAAGTATTGAGCCACCATTTGTCTGCCAATGTTTATCAGCTATTAGGTACCGCTGTTCAAAAGTTCTTGAGTCAGAAAATCCAAAGTGATCAACCTATGATAGAAACAAAACAGGCAAGACATATTTCAAGAAAAAGTAACTGAAATTAACATTAAGGTGATTCATTGTCCAACTGAAATCAACCTGAACTACAAAAATGATCAAAAGAAAATGTAAAGTTCGTTTGATCTTATTAATACTACTGTAATTTTGAAATTATTCTTATATACTAGGATAAGAAAGTATTTATTATGGTGGCCAAGATTTTCAGGTAAAAGAAAAGATATAATTACAAAATCAAGTGGTTACTTAAAAACATAATAATGTCAAATTTAAAATTTTTAACTTGATTTATTTTATGTGATTAATTTTAATGGAGAAATAAAAACTGTATATACTTATGCTGTTATAATATGATATTCTGAAATATGTACATATTGTAGAGTAGATAAATTGAAAATAAATAGCACCCTCATACTTACCTTTTTAGTGTGCTGAGGACATAATCAAATATCTTAGTACTTTTCAAATAGTCAATCCATCCCATTAGTTTTCAAAATGCCTTACTATCTGAATTTTTTCACTATTAAACTTTTAATATAAAAGTCAAGAACTAATTAGACCACTGAAAAGATCTATGAGCTGTGTGGTACCGATACGACATTCTAAATGCTGGGACTTTGATGCCTAATACAACTTCTGAGGAAAAGAACCAATAAAGGAGCTATGGCTTGTTACCAGTGACTGGTTGCCATTTGGGACAGAGAAACTGAAGATAGGTCTGTGTGCTTCTGCACAAAGGGCTAAAGGCATCTTAAAAACAATAGAGTTGCATTAAAAGATGGAGTCAGAGACAAGAAGCTATTTATTATTGGCTCACATTTTATAAGCTTAGCGTAAAACAAGTTGACCATAAAAAGAATAAAAATAGTAATTGAAACATTCAATTCATGACAATCATTAGTATATGTACTGAGTGGTTTTGAATGCCAAATTGACACAAGCTAGAGTCATCTGAGGAAGGAGCCTCAGCTAAGGAAGGACCTCCATGAGATCCAGCTGTAAGGCATTTTCTCATTAACTAAAAGTCAGTTAATGCAGAAAGATGACTCAGAGACATGATAATTCTGCAAAGTTACTGATTCAGGAAAGAGTTATTAATGGCATTTAAAAACACCAGGAAAGGCAGCAGAAAACTTATTTTCATGTGGCGTAACAATGATATCACAAACTATCATCACCTTAATCTAATGATCAACATTGACATCATGGATAGTCAGGTAGGCAGGGCATATATGCCTTCTCATGCATACAACATAAAGCTCATTTCCCCTATGATTCATTCTTTCCAAAAACTTCCACTTTTATCTTTATCCTGACTTTAGGTTTACTCTTAAGGAGGATATACAGAGGGTGGCAGAGTAAACTGAAGTCTCTAAAAGGCAATTGGGCAAATCTGAGGGTGGTACGTTTTACAGGGCATTTACAGAGGACTGCTTTAGGTTAAGCAAGTTTTAAGAACATAACTACTAGAAGCAATGCAATCCAGGATTGGACCCTAGTTTGAACAAATAACCTGCAAATGCTAACTGAAGTGACTGTGTTGATTTTAATATGGACAGGGAATTAAATGATATAAAATACTTCATAGAAGTAATCATATTATTCTGGATGTATAAGAAAATGTTTTTATTTTTACAGTTGTACCATGGAAGATTTAAGAGACAGGATGTAACACTATCACTTTGGAATTACTCTAGCATGAATAAGCAATGTGAATTTATATGAACTGAAGTTCCATCTACAATGAAAGAAATAACATACTTAAGGTACCTGGACTTTGCAAGATAGCTAAACTATGTCAAAAATCAAAAAAGGCAGAAAGAACACTTTGGAACTTTGGATATATTTATAAGGTTTTATTTTTTTCCTTTTTGAAATTGTGAGTTACCACTCAAATCTCTTAAGATGGTTAACATTCACATACAACTACAAGGAAAAGCTATTTAAAAAGCTATTAAGCCTTTAGGATGGTAAGGCTGAATACCTCCGTGACTTGAAGGGATGATTTTAAGCACACTATTCCTAAGAGGGAATACTGAAGAAGGGACAGAGATAACGAGTTACAAGAATTCTTGTTAAAGTGTAAACAGCGCCTATTTTTTTTTTTTTTTTTTTTTTTTTTTTTTTGGTGTGTGTGGGGGGAAGGGTTCTCCCTAAGTGTTAAGCCAGAAATATGCTGTGAAATGTCCTTTGCACAACATGAATTTCCAGCATCCTCCTGGCTGGAGGAGCAACTACAGGTACAGAACTGTGTTTTCAGTCTTCACACACACACACACACACACACACACACACACACACACACACACACACACGAGTGTGTGCCCTCTGCTGTCCAGATTGAGATCCACTTTCCAAAGCCCATAATGGGGACTTAAGAAATCACAGTATGAAAGGATTGCAGAAGCAATTTGACCTCCACTGCCCTAAGCAAGCTGAACTCAAAGGGTAAATAGAGATGGAACATCGGATCGGATCCTTTCTACAACTTGCCTTAGTGACATAAGAAAAGCAGGCCATACACCATGAAAACCTCACAGGCATGATCTGGAAAAGGAGGCACATTTCTGGTCACACACAGCAGTCCTTTCTAAAATACAGTAAAAAAGAAAAATTCAAAAGATGTTTCCTGCTGCTTCGCCATGTGGAAATGTGCAAAAGATCTAAGAGCAGGGAGGGCAAGAGGGAATGAGGGCATTCTCTAACTAAAATCTGTGGTGGCAAAGATACATGTTTGCATACAAGGAAGCATAGTTGGATGACAATTTGGGAGCAGCGAGGAGGAAAAAAACACAGAGCACCTGCTTCACACTATCAATCACCTGACCATAGTCAACTGTGGACATCTTCATAATGTCTTCTAATAGGATCATGACCTCAGAGAGGTCATATAATTTCTTAAATAGCTCAATTCTTTCTCCATTCTTTGGCAGACACTGTTTCCTAATCTGCTTTTTTCATAACGCAACAGTTAGTTATAGGAAGAGCTGACAACAGGCTTCACGCCTCACCAAGAGCCACTCAAGAAGCTTCCTCTAAAATTTGTGGGTACAGCCATAAGTTACATTCCAAAAATACATGGAATCATGGTTCTTTTGCTGACTTTGATGACAATCATCACTACATTCTGTGTTTAACTCAATTAGGTCAATTGATTTAAAAAAAAAAAAGTCACATTCTTTCTCAATAGCCTTTCATTTTGGGAACTCACCATATGGCGGTCTTATTTAGGCACTCAGATATACAATAGCTAGCAGGAATTTTATTAGAGATATAAAGATTATCCTCGGAGATAAATACAACAAAAAAGAAAGAAACCAAACTCATACTTCCAATGAGTTAATACGCCTTGAGGGAGGGCTCTCTTATGTGCAACCCTAATCCAGAATAAGGAAATGAAGGTCTCCTCTCTCCACTTAGATGTGTGTTATGTTGTGGGTGAGTATAGAGACTGTGGCATTGCATTCTGTTAGCTTCTCAACTGGGGTGTGGCAATGTTCCCAAGCACATTTGATTCCTGATGGGAAGGACATCTTCAAATAGAAAGGATGAGTCTCTAAGAAGGAGCCAAAACTGAGATGAAGAAGGAATATAGGCAGGCCCCATGGCTGTGGCTGGAGAAGCCTGTGTACCTGGAGTCAGTCCTTCTAAACTGCAAGCTCTGTCACTCCAGAGCTAGAATAAGAATGGAGAGTGATGCCACATCTTATGAATGAAATTATTGTTGGCTATGACCCCCTGCTTATTTCCACTTTATTGTGTCACAGCTATACAAAATCTGATTAAACACTACATTTATTTGTCACTACAATGGGAAGACAGGAAGCACTGGAGACTGAATTTAACTGAAGGAATTACAAGGCCAACAGTTTTTCTGAATGGCGATGTAACAGCAGAGAAATGATGACAAGAGGAAGACAAATCTTACAAACAGGAATTATTCTTCCCTCCACCTCACTGCTAATCCCCAATGTCTTGCTTCCACCCTTTGTTTCAGTGTCAGAGTAGAACTTAAAACTTTACGCATGCTTAGCACACACTACAGAAACGAACAAACAAACAAACAAACAAATAGAGCCCTCCAGTCCACAAGGATGGATGGCAGGCATTTCCTCAGAAGTTCTTCAAATGAAGCACCTTTATATGCAAAGACAGACTATTCTTTTTCAAAAACAAAATGGGGTTTATCTTAAGTGTAAGAATATTTGTCTGAATGTATGGTTGTATACTATGTGAGTGCAGCATCCAGGGATGCCAGAAGGCATCAGAGCCCTAGGACTGGACTTTTAGATCGCCATGTGGGGATGAGATTTAAACCCTAGTCCTCTGGAAGAGCAGTTAGTGGTCCTAACCATTGAGCAACCCACAAACCCCTGACATGTATTCGTGACACTTTTGTCAATAATAAAAAAGAGAGAAATAGAAGTTCCTTTCTTCTATACTATTTTTATAGCATGTCCTTCTAACATAGAAATAAAATATTATAGAAAGAAAAAAGTAAAGTAAAAAGAAAACAAAAATAGTGATCCATCATAGGAGTCGTTCTTACAACAAAAAAGTGGGATTCAGCTTCTTGTACTAAACTGTCAGCTTGAAAGGCAAGAGAAGTAGAGAGTATTTTGCCCTCACACCATTTTGGCAACTTAGAATGGTGATAACCACCACAATATCTCTGTACAAGACAGGACTTTATAAGTAATAAAATGCAGTTCTAAAGCAATAGATTCTCATGTTTCTAAGTATGAGGTTCCTTTGCTAACAGTAAAATTTTGTTTAATAAAAACTAAACTATGAGCTTTCCTTTTTTTTTTTTTTTTTAACTGATGAGGCCATTTACTTTAATGTTTTTACTTTTGTGTGTGTGAGAAACACAAGTCTCGGTACATAATCCAGGCTAGTCTCAAACTCATGGTCCCCTGTTTCTGCTTCTTGCCTGCTGGCATTATAAGTATATGCCATCATACTCATCTTAAGTTTTTCACAGATGTGTT